GATCAATACCTAACGATCAACGGCTCTTACATCGGTGCGTACATAATTTATGTGTTCTGTGTAATAAAATGTTTCGTTTGAGTTTGTTTAACTACGTGTATAAAGGTTTGTATTAAACTGTTGGAGTGAACATTTGTCTAAGAAACATATATTTTTTTAGCAATTCCTTTTCATCCATATTCATTAATGAGAGCACTGAAATAGCGTGATGATTATTGACACAATTAGTGTCAAAGCTCTTATGGATTGGTTGAACCATAGCTCTTTTTATAGCGTCATGAAAGACACCAGTCTTTATTGAATTATGTACGCATTTTACATTTAGTTCATAGGTTTTATTTTAAATAATATGTAGTTTTACTACTTAATATTTATGTTGTATTGACTTATTTTTTTTATTAATTTTTAATTTAAAAAAAGACAACTCCCGATTAGGAATATATCCTGTGTCGCGGAGGACTTTACAAACATACATGAAACGGACACAAAGAACACCCAGACTCAGAACAACAATTTGTGGATCACACAAGTATCGTCCCATGTGCGGTTTGAACCCACAACACTTGACGTAGTAGGAAGCGGCGTGGCGACCGCTTAAACCACTACGCCATTCATGCAGTCAGTATTGTATCGAGCAGTATTGTTTTTTAATATTTGTATTGATATGGCTACAGCTGTATATAGCCTGTGCAACTCAGTTTCGGTCTAGCACAATATCAGAGAAAGTTTATATGAGATCAATTCATACTCAGCATTGTATGTGAATCTAGACTCACGTTTTCGAATAACTTACCTATATCGGTGTTCCCAATAGATAGTTCAAGGCAAAGAAGTGCATTGAGAGATTTTATGTTGTTTCGGCACCATGCCAAATAACTTTAATCACAGATGAAGTAAAATTCTCAAGGTCAAGGTTTTGGTTTCACGATGAACACTAGTTTAGACATGATATACCCATATCGTTATTTTTGAACAGAGTAGAATGAGTATTTATCAACAGCCTTTACTAGTCCACTGCTGGACATAGTCCTCTCCTTAGAATGGAGGGTTTGGTCTACTATACCACGCTGGCCAGACGGGTTGGTATAGAGTTTGTTTTAAGTTTTCCTTCTCTTTGCAGTGTTGTTGTCCTGCGAAGTTTGTTCCCTTAGATGCCTCTTACGACACCCAAGGGATGAATAGGGGTGATGACATTCCGTATTGTTAATATGTCACCACACGGATCATCATGCATGAGTATTAGAGAAAGTTATTTGAAAATAAATAGGTAGAGAATCAAGATCAATTAAGGAATGATTGTTACAGAATTAATTGTGACAATATGAGATTTCTTAAATTCTCATTACCACAAAAATAGCCTAACTACACTCTATTATTATAAAGAAAATGTAAAACACAAATAATAGACTGTTTTTTTCTTTAAATTCCTCCTTTAATTATTTATAGAAAGTGAATATCATGTATTTTATTTAAACATAAGGTCTGATTATCGTGGCATTATAAACTGATAGACATACCATATCACCCTAAATGACTTCAAAGACAACTACTTGGCATCAGACTGCGTTCACCTTTGTCTTCAGAGCTGAGGTCTTAATAAGATTTTTTGTTTACCTTATTGGTGAACATCCTACGATCTCCGTTCCAGAACCGTTCGGCCCTATTAGCTATCTGTTCTGCGTAGAGATAATTAATATCCTATAGACTGTCATCATTGCAATAGGAACTTTGATCGAATTTGAACATAAATCTGATATTTTGCACTCATTAGCATTAATTATAAAGAACTTTCATGTCGTTTGCATTTTCTTCCTACTGTTTTACAACTGTTATTTATTGGCTCTTTTATTTTCAATATTATAGCAACACTCACATCAGATCATCACATCAACAGCCTTTAATAGTCCACTGCTGGACATAGGCCTCTCCTTAGAAAGGAGGCTTTGGCCTACTATACCACGCTGGCCAGACGGGTGGATATAGAGTTTGTTTCAAGTTTTCCTTCTTTTGCAGTTCTGCGTAGTTTGGTCCCTTAGTCGACTCTTACGACACCCCGACACCCACGGGATGAATAGGGGTGGCGACACCTCGTATTCTTAATCCATCGCCACACGGACAAAGTAGCAACACTAGCTGTATAAATTTCAATCACATCACCATTACTAGTTTAAAGAATTAAAAATGAAATGATTTCCCCTGTGTAGCATCTTTGTACATGTCTAGAGTTAAGTTAGAGCTTTTTAAGTAATTAGACATCGTAAACTGTCTTTTTGATGACTCCGTGCAGTGCTGTGAGACGTAACTGTATTTATCTTGAGTTATTTATTTGTTTTTCGTTTTGCTACTGCAACGTCGCACCATATTGAAGTACGGTGAAATAAATATTTAGTAGTAATTATTACAATTAAAGTTGACCTAAAAAACAATTGTTTATACCAGATACGGAATATACGTCTAACCCTCAGCCCGGATACCCGAATTGTCAATGTCTGCTTTAGAAATTAGATAAAGATAAAAACTAAAGTACTGGTTTGCTACGAATAATAGAATTTTTTGAAAGTTTACATCCTTACGTAAGTCTAATTATTCTAAGCAAGGTGTAAATGTATACCTCGAAGCTTACTTAGAGGTTCTGCAACTACTCAAATGTCGTACAAAATAGTAAAAGCAGCAATCAATCACGCGATCAAAAAAAGAACGCAAACGTCATATCAAATAATATCTGTATGCTACGTATTTCTCTCTCATAAGATTTATCTTTCAGACGTTCCAAAGAGATGTAGTACATAATCACATTTTGTCATCTATATTTTCATCCCATGTAAAAGGGATCAAGCCTACAGCATAGGTATAGAATCACGCGCGAGATTTTAACCTAAAACAACTTACGTAGAATATTCAAAACTCGTAACTTTAAACTTCTTCGCTCAAGCCAGTTAAAAATATAGTCAAACTAAAACCGCAAGTCGTAAATCCGTTATGGTGTAAGCGACTGCTAAACTTTTGATTAATTACACTTGGTTAACATTTTAGAGTTTAAATTAAGAATAAGACAATATAAATAGCTACAGGCATATATTAAAAAGTATAGAGTTAATAAAATATGTAGCAAAGACAAATTGCAAAAAGCTCAAGGTCACACGTATAGTCACTGATACGTCAGAATGATGTCAATGAGCTAAATGAAAATGGGCTACTGACCGCAATATAGTATGCATTTTTTATACTGGTCAATAATACAACACATACAATTTAAAATTAAGGCACTTAGCTTAAAGAGCTTAGCTCGTGTACAACTAATATTAGTTTAAACCTCTAAACTAAGCGTCTTTTGAATGTAACGTAGCACTTTGCTGTATTTGTGAGTAAGATTCGAACACGCAAAATCTCAATTACAAATAGTTGCAATGACCATTACCGTTCCGCCTAGCTAGCTCTTAGAAATATATTTAAGAGCATTTGTGTATTTTTCGATATTTAAATAAAACTATAACAAGAGACCTATGAAATAATCCAATTATATAATAACTGGGTATCTTCTTTCTTTTCTTTCTAATTTCTTGTGTCTCTGAGATGTATGTTATCACATGTTAGAGCTGTGAGAAAAAAAGCTTCGTGATAACTGACTAATACCATTAACTGAACACACTTATCTACATTCCTATTCTCCGAGCTCCATTACGAGAAAGAACATCCTAAGAATAATACGATTAAGAAACAAATGTCAAATTAAATCTGGTCGCCACTTAGTTTCTATATTAGAAGAATGTGTAGGTATTTATTTATATTTACATTACCCTCATTTTTCTCAGAGACACGTAAATTATTCCAGGTATATTTTGCGGTGGATACCTCTGGTCACTAAAGATGTATACATATGAACGAGTGCGGTCGATGAACTTTGCAAGAACTTGGGGCTTTGTGCAGTATTCCCGGGCTGTACCCATCGCAATAGGCGTCCCATTATCAGGTAAGTTTCATCTTAATAGAACTATACAAGCGCTCAACCTAAATCTTAGGTATTGTTCATAATTTTAATTTTTAATACATACTACCTTATGAAATCACCTAATTATTTTGTTAGGACGCAACTAATGATTTTTTTTTGGTATAAGGGGACAAACGAGCAGATAGATCACCTGATGGTAAGCAACTACCGCCGCCCATGGACACCTGCAACTAAAAAGCGGGAGGGGTGATTTGGGCTTCGGTAACCTCACTCAATCAGTGAAAGGCAACTAAAGAATTGCTTAACACCGGTTTTCTGAGAGGCCGTGGTATCACTCCGGTCGAGCCGGTCCATTCGTTCTGAATCATGGCTCTCCCACGGTAAATATCCTGAGATATTCTGTACTTGTTTTTTTTTTTAATTATTATTACCATATTTACAATGTTGCATTACAATACACGTGCATACAAATTGCAGTACAGGTTGCATCTGAGATGTTGATTACAAGGATTGGGTCATTAATACAGAAGCACTCTAGAATAATGCGCACACCATCTAAACAGGTAATTTTCAAACCCTGGATCACTAAAGGATTGCTCAGATGCATACGAAATAGAGACTCCATGAGGACACAGCTTAAAATAAATCCTGATAATTATACCCTTAAAGTAACCTATCTTAGATACCGAAATTTCTGCAATAAATTACTAAAAAGATTAAAACATAACTACGAGCATAATGAACTACGGAAAGCACGAAATAATCCACGGTCTACTTGGAAAATAATTAAAAACATTACTCACACGAATTCCATTAAAAAATCCCCTGCTGAACTTTTAAATATAGACAGAGATAATTTGACATCTGTAAACCGTGTTAATGAGTACTTCTCCCGCATCGGTAGTAACTTAGCATTACAATTTAGTTCTAACATACAAAATAATCAACTGCCGAATCATAACATTAATGCTCACTCTTTGGTCCTTTTGCCAACAGATGAGTCGGAGGTTGAATTAATTATACGAAGTTTGCGTAAAGATGCTGCTGTCGGATGGGACGCGATACCTGCTCATTTATTGGAAAAGTGCTCAAACACCTTGGTACCAATAATAACATTTGTAATATTTCTATGGCTGAGGGGATTTTCCCCAAATCTTTTAAGAGGGCTGTTGTGCATCCCATCTTTAAGGGTGGAGACAGAGACAGTGTCAATAATTACAGGCCCATATCTGTCCTGCCTGCACTGTCCAAAATCCTAGAGAAGTTGCTAGACACCCGCTTAACAAATTTTTTACAGAAAAACAGTATTTTAGCGCCGAATCAATTTGGTTTTAGGGTAGGAATGTCGACTGAAGACGCGGTGGCTTCTCTGGTGGATGAAATAGTAAACAGCCTCGAAAATGGACAGAAATGCCTGTCGATATTTCTCGATCTTACCAAAGCATTTGACACTGTCTCTGTTCCACATCTCTTACGGGATATGGAGAGAATGGGCATCCGCGGATATGCGCTCGGAATTTTCAAAGATTATCTTTCTGATAGGACACAGTGTGTAAAGATAGACGACATTGTTAGTAGCAGCGAGCCCCTTCTCTTTGGTGTCCCACAGGGATCGATCCTTGGTCCAACCCTTTTCCTCCTTTACATAAATTCCCTGTGCACCTTATCCCTTCCCTATTCTTCTATCATTACCTATGCAGACGATACTGCAATACTTGTCCGTGGCTCAGACTGGCCATTAGTGTTTGCTGTGCAGAATGCGCTCTTAATCGTGTAATGCAGTGGCTATCCAACAATCTTCTTACACTTAACCTTAAGAAAACTACTTACATCACGTTCTCAAAGACAGTTAAACTCAACCACCTTTGGAAACCTTCAATATAAGAGCTCATACTTGTTCGACATACACATCCACTGATACCTGCAACTGTTCAACTATACTGAGATCCGCACACACAAAGTATCTGGGAGTATTTGTTGATAGTCATATTTCATGGAAATACCAACTGAGCAATGTAACTGCCCGCGTCCGCAAGATGATATACATTTTCAAAAAATTGCGTTCCGCAGCTGATTTTGACACCCTGAAATCAGTTTATTATGCACTGTGTCAATCTGTTTTAACATATTGTATATCTATCTGGGGTGGAGCTGTGAAATCGAACCTTCTGCCCCTGGAGCAAGCACAAAGAGCAGTCCTTAAGGTAATGACTTCTAGGCCTATTAGATATTCGACTGCACAATTATATCACGAATGTGAACTACTTACTGTCAGACAGCTCTTTGTGCTTGAAACAATCTGCAGAAAACATATTGGTCTGGAATATGACATTGAAGTCACAAGAAAGCGCCGTGCACGCAAGGTGTGCCAAGCCCAAAGTTCTAGAAGTGCGTTAGCTGCGCGCAGTTTCAATGTTGTAAGCTGCCACTTATATAATGTAGCTAATGAATACTGTGACATGTATCCATTAACTAGATCGCAATGCAAGAAACGAGTTACCATATGGCTCTTGTCCAAATCTTATGAAGATACAGAAAATTTGATTAAACTAAGTATACTATAATTCTAATGCATCCCTCACGCACACATACACACACACACACACACACACACATACACACACACACACACACACACACACACACACACACACACACACACACACACACACACACACCAACATACATACAGACTTTGTAACATAATATACTCGTATATAAACATATAGTAATACGATATATATTATTATAATATTAATATCTACTTCTATAGGTTATTCTTACCTTAAGGCTTAAGCAATCCACCTCGTGCGTATGCAACTACGATACATTACACTTTTACATTAACTACCTGTTGCAATTAAGTACGAGAGCCCTGGTACCCATACCACAAGTTAAATCTTACTTTGGGTACCAGAGGTCAACAAAACTATTGTACATGTTGAATTGTTATAACTTATGTGTGTTTTTACTGTATGTATCTTTTTGAGACAATAAATTATATTATTATTATTATTATTATAGATTACTAAGAAAAATATCAAATATCGTAAACTTGTATTATGGGTGACTTTTTACACAATAGATAAAAGGTTGCCGTTGACGACCGTGCTAACATAAATTGTGTTACAGTCCTTAGCGCCTTCTACCCAACCGGAAAGATATTTATGGATTTTTGTATTATATTGCAAAACATATGCCCACAAACATTAACATAACAATAAATTGCAGAGAAGACATAAAATTAGAATGGAATGCAATTGGGTTTTAATGTAATTTTAAGTTAGTAATAAAAAATAGGATGTAATACATTGGAATTATAATAAAATATGAATAAATTTTAAATGCACTTCTAAGAAAAAAGTACTATGTAATAATTAAAAAATTGCAAATATCCAAAAATCAACTACTAACAACGGATGAATTCGTTAAATTATAAAAAACAATAATAAAATGTAGGTCTATTTACCACAATTATTTGTTTATGCGTGTTTCTGTGTGTGTTTGTCTCTCCCTCTGTGTGTGTGTGTGTTAGCGTGTGTGTGTTTATTATGTTATTTGTATTACACGAGATTACATGATCACTTAAAATCTTCGAATATATTATTGTATAAGACATTAAGACATATTTTCTTAACAAAGATTTATTACATTACCACATTTAGTCAACCATATTCTTGGTCTCAAGGAAACCCAGAGTTCCAAAAGACTCTGCCCAAGACATAGCCCAGTATCGATTTTCACATCATACGTCACGACACATCTTATTTGTGTATTAATAAAAAAAAAACCCTTAGGGGACAAACGAGCAGATAGATCACCTGGTGGTAAGTGGCTACCGCCCCTGAACACCTGTAACTCAAATTATACAAGTGCGTTACCAGTTTTGGAGACGCTGAATTACTGAACTGTAATAGGGAATTCGGTAACCTTATTTATTCAGTGAAAACCAACGAAGAAATTACCTAACACCGGTTTTCTGTGAGTCCGTGATCACTGCAGTTAAGCCAGCCTATATGAGGTAAACCATGACTTTATTGATATTTGATTTATTAACTAAGTTACTGTTAATAGAATTTGATATCAGGTCATAGTCAAATCATATAAGTAAATATCACAAACGAAACGATGTACTACGTATGTATGTACTGCCCGATACCTTCCCATTTGACTCAAGAAGAAAATGTAATGGTGCACCTAAAAGCTAAACTTTCCTGCAGCTGAGTATTTTAATCATACCATCCTTTTCTTCTGAACATTTACAAAGAAAATATAATCCGCGTTCATTTAAGGTACACAAGCAAATCTTAATTTAACAAGTAGGGGTTGTTTTGTCTCGAGTCTGTGGGAAGTTAATCTCTCTGAAATGTCAAGTATAACATGGCACACGAAGAAATCTCCTTAAAACAACTTCAGTTTTATTTTGTTTTAAGGTTCATCTTTGTACTAAAACAATACTTATTGTATATTAACTTTCAGGAACATTAATCCACAAGAAAAGTTTTACTACACTCGAATATGTAATATTAGTGTGTTCAGTAAGCACTATTAGTGTTTATTGGATGACAACTTTTTGGAGGAGGTTTATAACCCAGTAAAATTTGTAAGTAGTAGTAGGTAGCATCCACCTAAAAATACTAGAACTATCTAATTTTGGTGACATTATAATAACCTTATCAGTCAAGGACATTAATTTTCAATCGACTTCAAAACACAAAAGAGGAGGGTCTCAATTCGACTGTATTTTTTTGGATGTTTTGTTACGCGATATCTTTTATCACCAAGTCAGGATCAGGATAATCTAACTCTGTAATTTCTTTACACTGGGTGTTTGAAGTTACGGGAGCCGAATGGGGAGGATTCCTCTGATTCAGTGGACCAAAAGGTAGAATGCACTCGTGACTAGCTTGCGGGTGTCTATAATTATCTCCTTGTTTGCCACCTACACAAAAAAAAAAGTTATTGCGTTTGAAAATTCTAATTTCTAATTTATTTATTTTTTTACATAAATATTTAACACAAACGTGATAAAATTAAACTAGAGTTTAGCATCTCCTGCTTATTGAAGGCGCTTACCGCTTAATTGTAGTCATTAATAGTAATTGAAATCGACTGAAACCTACGTTGCTCGTAGTTCTTAAGTATTTCGACGTTGTGATAGAAATCTGTAATCTACTTTACTAGGGTTTCAGAATACCTATGTACTTCGAAGCTGATATTAAATTTTGGAGAGATAGAATCAGTTTATTTATATACCTAGCACTAAGTTAATTGGTGTATTATAAGCAATGTACATTACATAGGTATGGTAACATCATATGTACAGATTTTATGTACCTATTCAGTAATTGATTAACAATTTAGGATTCTAAACAATTATATTTAGTGAGGAATACATGGAGCGCTAGGTATATCAATATTACTTAAAATGACATGGATGGCGTAGTGGTTTAAGCGGTCGCTTCACCGTTTCCTACTACGCCGAGTGTTGTGGGTTTGATCCCCACATGGGACGACACTTTGTGTGATCCAAAAATTGACGTTCTGAGTCAGGTTTGTGTCCATTTCATGTATGTTTGTAAAGTCCCCCGCGACACAGGATATATTTCTAGTGCGGGAGTTGTCTTCTTTTTTAAATAAAAAAAAGATATATATTTCACTCAGTGAATGAGGTTACCAAAGACCAAACCCGATGATTCTGGTGGATGGGACTCACATGGTGGCATCGCACTTGTGACTCTTGAATTCCAAGTGCCGTCTGCTTGTTTGTCCCCCTGTACTTTAAAAAAAAAGCTAGTCGCTATTTAAGCCTCTGTGGTGACACAGTTTATGTAAGCGTACGCGTGCAAACCGCGTTCGGCAATGTCATCACATTTATGTAATTAATACAAGACTATATACACACATATCTGAATAAAAATTATAATTTAAATGTATTTAAGCCCACCAGATTAGCAAGCTGAAGTGGCAGTGGGCTGGCCATATTAGCCGAAGAACTTACTTGGGGAAAACGAGGATTTTGAGTGGAGACCACATTTGGGCAAACGTAGTCTAGGACGCTCAAAGGTCAGGTGTAGTGACGATCTGCGCAGGATGGCTGGCACGAGTTGGATGCGAGAAGATGATAATCGATCTAAGGTATACTATGGGGATCTTGTGTCAACTAGGGTGAATTTCCGTGCGTTTAGGCGATTCTGCCATACATATTATAGAAATCAAATATAGCTCACGTAGGACCCGTAATATTTTGTGGCCGTGGTGCTTCCCTGTTTAAAAGGGTGTATGCCTATTTTACTTCATTTTGTCTCCCGCTTTGCTAAGGAGGGAAGTTGATTTACTGTATTTCCAACTCCTCCAATTTTCTTCTGATTAATTTCGTTGCGGGTTCCAAGACAGTTTAATTTGTTCCTGGGACTTCCCGAGTGTCATAACTCGGTGTGTTCGTGGGTCACTGCTGTGGATCCTGGTGTACAGGAGTTACAGTGGTGCGCGTGTGGGTGGGATTAGTCCCAAAAAAAAAAAAAAATCGATCTAAGTATCGCAGCAGTAGACTGCGATAGGCTGATGATGATAATAACATCGAAATAAAAATTATTATTTAAATTTAATTAAGCCCACCGGATTAGCAAGCTGAAGTGGGCCGGCCACATTAGCCGCAGAACCGACCACCATTGGAGTAAACGAGTTCTTGTTCAAAATATTTATTATTAACATATAACTTAAAACAATTAACTGTATAATTTGCTTGATTGCATTACCATTTTCAATTTTAAGTTG